TAAGCATGTTATATAGAGTTTCTCCAGTAACTTTACCAAAGATTGTATGTTTATTCTGCAAATTTGGTGTAGAATTACGAATAAAGAAGTATTGAGAACCATTGTCATCTTCCCCAGCATTAGCCATTGCAATTAAACCGCGACCACAGGAACGTAATGTGAAACGAACTGAAAAAAAGTATACAATCCCGTTAGAAAAAATTCCACTCTACACTGATGTATAGGACAAACCTAATCAAGATGCTTAATTTCGGAAATAGAAACCAAAAAGGTTTACTACGCCGCACAATTTCACGGCCACTGACACGTTCGGCACTATTTTTCGAAAACGAACGAACCAAACCGAAAAAAAGTATTCAATCCCTTTAGAGAAAATTCTACTCTGCACTGTTAGATGAAAAAATCCGAATCCAAAAGCCTAAATTCGAAGATCGAATCCAAGAAAGTCAATTACGCATCACGATCTAATCGCCACTGACACATTCGGCACTATTTTTGGAAAACGCACGCACCAAACCGAAAAAAGGTAATCAATCTCATTAGAGGAAATTCTACTCTACACTGTTAGATGAAAAAATCCGAATCCAAAAGTCTAATTTCGAAGATCGAATCCATAAAAGTCAATTGCGCATCACGATCTGACAGCCACTGACACATTCGGTACTATTTTTGTAAAACGCACGCTCGAAACCGAAAAAAAAGTAATCAATGCTATTGCAGCAAATTCTATTTTACACTGTTAGATGAAAAAATCCGAATCCAAAAGTCTAATTTTGAAGATAGAAAGCAAAAAGATAAACTGCACAGCACGATCTGAAAGCTACTGTCACTTCCAGCACTATTTCTCGAAAACGCACGCTTGAAACCGGAAAAAAATATCCAATTCCCTTGAGGAAGAATTCCCTCTACGTTGTTAGACCAAAAAAAATCTAACCGAGAATCTTAATTTCAGAAACGTGGGCGAAAAAATTATACTGTGTGGAACGATTTCACAGGCATTTGCTTTTCCGTTACTTTGTTTCATATATGCACCTTCAATTGTAACATAATTGCCCTACTGGTTCGAGAGCAGCCTATTCTATGCAGTAGTTATGAAATATTCTAATCTAAAATTAAAATTTAGAATGTAAAAGAGATAATACATAACTATGTTGCAATGGAATGTCAAGATCGAAGAAAAATTGAAATAACTATTAAAAAGCTGTCTATTCAGAGTAATGTTGATCAAATATTCCAACGAACTGTCGAAATCTAGAATCTTCTATAGCCGATAATAACGGACAATGCGGTAGTATCATAGGATACGGCACTCACGCCACTTTATTTCCCACGTGTATCGTTATACAATTTACACTATGTAACATCACTTTTTTTCACATGTATCATATTACCAGCGAAGAAATGTTCACAGTTAGTAATCTTGAACTTCGTAAAGTAATTAAAACGTCAATCAGCGATATCACTACTTCATGAAACGTTTTGAGATTTAATGTTTCACTTTAACGCGTCAGAATACACCACCATGTTAACGTTATGCCCGCTTACCGCCAACTGGAAGTTGGCTGCAGCCAGATACGCTAGGTATTTTTGTAGCGGGAAAATGTTGCATCTTTGAAATAGCTATGTGATAAAGTATCGATGTAGAATATTAAACGATGTCTGTTATATTTAATAATATCAGTGAAGCAAATATAAATATATTTTTGTTGCGAGAAATTCCAAATTTCTATAATTAATTCATGAACTGAAATTATTAATTATTCCATCATAATAATGGAAGGACAAACCATTAGTGTCTTCGCCAATAGTTCAAAAATTCTGTGCAGTAATCACCAATAATTATTTAAATATCAACGAATTCATATCCATACTTATATTAGAAAGCTCGCTAAGGTTGTACCTTTACGATGCAATTTTAAAAGTTGATGAATTAATTATAGACGAACATGAAGTCGCAGATGAAGATGAGTGATTTTATTCTTGATAAAAAGAAAATGAAACTGCAATGGTTATATGCTTAGGGTACATTTTATTCACTTTGAAATGTTCACATATACACGTTAATTATTAACGATATAATAAACAATGACATATCGACATTCGAATCCGAGTAGGTGTCCGTATCACGGACCGTCACGAGAAAAATATGTTTCGTAATACATATCACGTAATAATTATCATTACAATGACCATATATATATGTACAATATTTATAAACATATGATAAATGATTGTATTCAAATACAGGAGCTATCCTAATAATTCTTGATATCTCTTATGGTGCATCTTCTTGGTTTTCTCTTGTTCTAAACCTCATAGAGAGTTTTTTATTTTGTATTCATTTTCCTTTATATCCTTATCATCTTCAACATCATCTATTTTATAATTTTGTACTTTCTTCGGTTCTTTTTTTGTATCTCTCAATGTACTTTTTATCCTTTCCTTCATTGCTCTGAAAATATAAATATAAGAGACAGTCAATAAAAATTCCTACTTTCTATAACATAGTTATAATGTAAACAATAAACTAACTCTTTCTCTTTCTTCATAATTTCTAATTCTTCTTGAGTTTTTACTTCATCGTCACTTTTTCAATCGCTATTACAGTCTTTTTTCCTTTCCTTATTTGGAGGTCCAGATGGTTCAACCGCTGGTTGTGAGCTTAATTTGGGATCTGTTAAATGATCATGAGCTGATTTGCCTTTACCAGTAAACTTTTTATTTAATATCACAGATTCTTAAGCTGGTTGTGAGATTAATTTTGGATCAGTTAAATGATCATGAGTTGACTTGCCCGTATCACTGAACTTTTTATTTAATATCACAGATTCTTCTTCATCTTCCCCTGCTTCTTCACCAATTGTTAAAAGATTGAAATCTCTTTCTGCCTTTCTTACCTTTTATGTAATACTTCATTTTAGCCAAAAATCGCGCGTTTTTTAAAGAAAATTCGTAATTTATGGAAACTGAGGACGGTAGAGGATAGATGATATATGATAGATGATAGAGGATGAGGATGATTCCAGAAAAGTAAACTCTACAAGAGCTATCAAATGGATATTTGAGAATAAAATTCGTGTTGAATAGTGTTATTATTATTTTTATCAAAATAAGAATTCAGATATACAAGGACACATTAAAGCACCAAACATCAGGTTTTATCTATGCGTATAATTACATAGTACATTCGCGTATTTTATATGGTATAAATATATAGTACTAATGCAAATGCAATGAATAAATTATTGTAAACAGCACAATTTTAAGTATACTTTCTTTTTTCTCTTGTACAATTTTTGAAACAAATATTAATATACAGGTTTTATAAGAATTTTAAATTTTCTTTAAATAAATATTGTTTACAGCTTTGTTCTATGTCTAATTAATTTAGCGTAGTAAATTAAAAAATGTTATAGAAAAAAGAATTTGAAATAAAAAACGATAAAAACTGCCAAGTTTTTCCTAATACAATGAAATAAAGATACGGACGTATTTATCTTTCGTTATCAAGAATTTTGACACACGCATCAGATTACGAATATAACGTTTTCTCTATCCACTCTTCCATCGTGAACGTTGCTGTATTAGTTAAATCTGGATCTCGCTCTCTGAAAATATCTAAAAAAGGGAAACATGCATTAATTTCTATATTATTACATAGATGTTTTATTTATTTACTCGTATATATTTGTGTACCTATCATTGTCTTCAGTCGGACTGCACACATTATGTAGTCATCGAAAGTAATCATACCATCCTTCGTTCCATAACGATGAACTAAGATGTTTAAAATGTGATTATTGAGTCGATATCCCGCACTATTTAATGCCTGTCTCAATTCAAATGCGCTCAAGTATCCTGACTCATCTTTGTCGTATAATTTGTACACAGCCTAAAAATTAATCGTTTTTATGAATTTTATTATAATATAATACCCTACTCTAATTTATTTACTTAATTTCTTAATTTCCTAACCTTACTTATTTATTATTATTATTTAAATACCGATGATATAAACAATTAATAATTTAATGATTTCACCAAATGTGAAAAATTTGTTAGATTCAAATGAGTCAAATAGTTAAAAAAAAAAAAATTATATTTCAAATATATTAGCATCTACAAAGAAAAATCTCATTGTCATTAGATAATATTTTTCATATCGAAAAAATTTAACCATTCATTATAATAATGTGAAAATATCTATTAAATTAGTATATATGTATAATCAGTTAACAAAGTGTTAACTCATAATATGGTACATATAATAAGCTAATACACTATAAATGAAATTATCTTACCCTCCATTTTCGTATATCATTCCATAATGTTCTGAATTCCTCAAACCCAAGTTTTCCAGAATGATCGACATCTAGCATAGCAACCATGCTACGGCATACATCATTACTGAATCCTTTACCATTTGTTTCTGAAATAAAGAAAGTACTTCTACTTGTAGTATACGATTAAATGCAAACTTTATCATTTTATCATCTATCATTTTATGATCGACAAGATAAAATTCTGTAACATTACAAAGCAAAAATATATTAAAGGATTATCATTATAAAATTGACGACGATAACACCACAAATGTAAACAGGATATAGATAAATAACAATAGGCTGATTATGAGATATTAAATTAATAGGATTATAGTGAGGCTGTGTAGCAAGTTTTTACAGCCTACATTCGCCATTTGATGAATTATTTTCAAGCAATTTCGTTAATAGTTTATATACTTCTTTTTGTAGCAAAGACACATGCACAAACTTCAATTATCTCTTTTTCAAGCCTTTGACTTGCATTTGCATTTACAGATAGTTGTTATTTATTTCAGACAATTAATTGTAATTAATTTTTTCATTTTACTTAAATAAGATCTTGTTATAAATTGTAGCCAGAATTTTGCACAAACGAATAACAAATTTAAAAAAATTTTAAGATATAATCAATCATATGATCTGTTTTACTTTTATTAATCAAGTTATTTAGACTGCTGACGAATTCTTTCTTCTGAAGTTTAATATTTAGAAATAATTTGGTAATTTCATATATTTAATATAGCTCTTAGTTTCGATCAAAGCATTCAAAATTCAAAATGATATAAAAACATCAAGGCATGGGGTCGAATCTTGCTCTCTGAAACTATTTAGAGTAAAAGAATAGATCGATTGAACAATATTAGTTTAAAATATATCAATATGTAAATTCAAAACATTTGCTCATTAATGTTATGAACTAATGAACCTCTTATGTTTATTAGTTATGTTAATATAAAGAATTATGTGTTATATATTATCTTTACCATATATGTATTCAAAGATTTGTTTATATAAAAATCCGATTATTAATTTTATTATTTCTTTTCCTTTTTTTTTTTTGAGTAAAAACAAAACTATTTTACATTTAAAACATCAAGTGGCTATTTTAGAATGCAGCAAAATATATTACACTCACATTTATTTTAGAATTTATTTGGGTTAATAATATTTGTGTTATCAATAATAAATTTGAAATAATCGAAAACAAAACTGTACGTAATCTTTACATTAAAATTTTGGTGTAATCGAGCAATTCTTTTTCTCTAAAAAAGATTGAAAGAACATTGAAAAATAATTGTCGCCTTTATCACATACGTATGCAGAATGACCCGTAGTGTGAAGTATATACTAGATGATGCCTTACCTACAGTTTTATTGTACTGTTCATTATTACAAACAATGCCGCACAGCAGTGAGATGAGAGTGTCGATAAACGAACCATTTCCTTGTACACTTTCAGGGGCATGAGCCTCACTATGACGCGCCAACTGTGGTAGTTCTACCCGTAACATACAGCTACATGTTAACATTAAATTTTACATACGTACATTCAGGTCAGATTGATCACTAAAAATTTAAAACCATGAAGTTCCAATAACATTACAGATCTTTTATGAGTTCTTTATTAATTTTTACATCAGTCACATTATCAACATATCTAATCTTAATGACAAGAAAGCTTTATTTAAAAATTTTATCCAGTTCCTGACACCTTTGTATTATCTTAGATTTTTTAATTCTAACAAATGTTAATTTAAAAGTCAATTTAAAAATTTTAATCGAGCAGTTGTTTATTAGTCGCGACACATTATACTACGTTAACAAAGAGTTTTAACTAGAATATGAATTAATTATAGAATAATATACACTTTTAATATTTCTATTTCTTACGGGACCCAAATGTATTTATGTACAGCATGTATGAAGTAATTATACAGAAAGAAACGAAACACGCACAATTATTAGAGCGAAATTTGTGTTGCATTAGCATTCATACAGTAATTGCTTTACAATGAGAACAAATTAATCGAAATAGTGCATTAACAATGCTTAAACCAGTATGCGTAGTGCTATTTGCATGTCTTCATAAAGTACTCTAAACGAATGATTAATACCAAGAAAGCGCAATTACGTAAATTTAATAACCACAAACAATATTAAGTTGGAAAGCATTACTACAGAAGCTGTTCTAAAAGTACAAAAGCTCTTTTTAATAATAAGCAAATAATCGAAACAATTAAACAAAACAGAATCAAGACTACATCGTATATGATAACAACAACTTATTTATATATGTGTGTGTGTTATACTATTCCACGTGTAGGAACAGATATTAACCGTAATTATATAAAATGTACTGATTTTACTTAAATATTTACATTGAAATTAAAGTAGATGTAAAATATTTCAGTAAATTTTACTTGTCGATTTTATAATTTATTTTTTCATAATTGACTAGCTTATAACTGAAATATTTTAATATACGGTTAATATAAACAAATTACGATTAAATAACCATACCTTTTCGCATTGCATAGTCTAAAATTTCTTTTAGTTCCAACCAATCCACTTCCAGATCGTCACCGGCAAGTTTTTTGAAGAACTCTCGAACTTTCTCTGTGTTTCGGTCTTGATCTGGTTCATCTCGAACCTTAAAAAAAATAGAAATGCTATTTCGTCAAAAGATATTGACAAAATTCAATTCTTGTAGAATTAAATTTTATTAGTTATTATTATATTAAATATTTTAAACGTTTTATTTAGACAAATACTGAATAAAGTTTATTAGCATGCACATTACTTACTTTATCACCATCTCCATGTTCGTTATCACCTTTAGGATTAATGACCTAGAAGCCAAGCAACATCAACATGCGAATTGTTATGAATTATTAATTGGAATTTACAATCACCAACTAAATTCTTTTGGATTAAGTTGATTATATATAATTAAAATTGGACACATCATAGATCTATACATTAAATACCAATACTTTAAAAGCATTAAGGAAGCTGTAGGTATTAGATGCAGTTTATCAACATATAAGTGCAGAGTGTTGACTGAACTTATTTTCTTGTCAGTATTTTGAGTATTTATGTTAATGCTGTAGATTGTGCAACATTAAGTGTCGTGCATAATCTATACATTCAAAATAAGATTATTAACATAACATCTTATATTAACATATAAGAAAAAAATATTTTTATATAAATGTTTTTAATACATAGTATTAATATATAAAATAAGTATAAATTTCTTACCCTGTCGTCAATTTCTCCAATACCAACTTCTTCATCATTTTCTCTAAAAGGTACAGTTTTAATATAAACTTAAATTTCTTATTATAATAAATTTTTTATCATAGAAAAGAAATTACTTACTCCATATTATTTTTATTTTCAGAGAAGATTCTCAACAAAAATTCGCCTTCCTCGTTAGGATCGAATGTACTTGGAACTATACAATAGACACCAGGTGGCAATTTGAAACGGCACGTCACTTCTCGTAAATTTATAAATGCTGGTGATCTTGCAACAGATGCATTGTATTTGAAGAAATTAACATCCAGTGGCTTTGGTAACCGTTCGGGATAGTCCAACTGTATATTCACAACCATTGAAATCAACATATTATCTTTCACAATAAAATTAAATTAATAGTTTAAAATTACTAGGACATGAATTTCTTGTTCAAATTTATAAATTTTAAGTATGTACATGGTATATTGCAAATCCAATAGTCAGACAATCTGCACCCATTCTTCTTTGTGCTCGCCTATTTTTTTGCATCAATGCAACGATAACTGTACACTTATCGTCATCTTCATCGGGATATTCCAGCGTAATTCGGTATTGTGGATTATGCCAAAAGGTTTCTGCAACCCCCCAAAAATGTTAGCCATTAAAGGTATTGTAACAACAAAGATGAACATTAAACAAAGAGGAACACTTACCTAAAAAGTTTCTACAACCTCCTGCTGTAACACCACGTACCCATTCTCCTTCAAATACGCTCATCTCCCATTTCTTCTTACCAGCACTTAAATCGCTCTCGGTCAATGAATCTGGATTCAAGTTACATATTTCTAATTGTGTAAAATATCGAGTGAAATCCTGGAACGACATCCAAAATTCACCGTCCATATCGAAAGTCAAGCCTAATTCATCTTTCTCGTGATCGGGGATAAATCTCCATTCTGGTGACCTATTAAATGAACATTTAATAAGATGCCTACCATTTCAGGAAGAAAAACATGTCGTTCTATATAAATTGGACTGTCAAACAACTTACTGATCGCTCCACGGACCATTCCATTCTGCTTCGTTACCCCATGGATTTCGAAGCCTAAGCAAAGGTATTCTGCCATACTGGTTCGGTGTTTGAATTTCTACATGTTTAACACGTGTAATACTGTAAGCATGGCCTCTGATCAGTCCTTGGGGCGTCTCAGCTTCCAATATATTTGGGTCAGGCTAAAAGAGTAACTCGTTTTACTGTGTGCGTACAACATGCACGACACATAACGTCCATTTGAATTACCTCTATGGAACAGCCCATTAGCGAGTTTCTTTCATAAGCTTTTAACAGAATATTAAATAAATTTGGAGGAGTTTCGTCCATTTGATACATTTCTGTTACACCACCCGTGAAATCTTCCATGGCTTCGCAGGTAGTTCCACCTTTCAACGCCTCGTAGGAACCATGAAGCTTTGCGTATGCTTTCTCCAACAAAGCACTCCAGAATTCATTGACCTCCGCCGAATGTAAATATAATAATTCACCCCGATAGGTCGGCAATCTGTCATCAATTACTACATCCACCCACCTACCGTACTGCCAGAATCTGTTCAACATTGACGTATAAACAGTTAGATAAAAACATTTTTAACTTACGGCATGCAAATTTTCGAAATGCTGATTCAACCAATTGCGCAATTACCTGAAGTGAAATATACCGACGTAGTTTTCTTCGAAACTTTGATCTTCTGGGACTACTTGGAAAAACAAATTTTGATCCATAGTGAGATTCGCGACCGCAGCCAGTAGCCAACAGTCTCCTAACTCGCCTTGCTGAACGTCGAACCTGGAAAAACCCTCGACGAACAGTTGAGGGTTGTCCGCGATTTCCTTCGAAAAAAGATTGAAATATAACAAACCATTAGTCAAGCAGTAGGAGAGAAATATACTTGTATATGATTTTCCATTTAACTGTGTAACAGTGAAATATTTCATAAGGGATTGAAGTTAAAAAAATATTCTTACAAAAGTTGTTTGCCGTAGAAGTGGAAATTTATATGCTATAAATAATTTTTCTGTAAGAATAGTGATGAAAAAAGATAAAATTATCGAACTGCTACATCACTGATTTTGGTGGTCTTAAAATATATTGTAAAGAGCGTTGTTCCGAATATTTTTCTTTGAAAAAATTAGCAATTAGCCATATTTTTCAAAATATTAGTAAAAAAATTACTACCAATCCATGCAATTTTGCTCATACATATGCATTCGCGAGGCGAACAGATATACATACAAGTTTGTATGTATTACACGGTAAATCAAATCACACGAACTATGGATGCCTATGTTTCTTTCTAACTAATACTATTGTGTGCTTAACATAATTATTGCTACATTTAATGACTATCCATTTGTCCGAAAGTTATTTCAGGAACAAATTTTCAATTAAAAGATAAACGTTATATCTTCAATTTGATATATGGGGTGCTACGTAACTGGTGGTACAAATGGGAAGGTGGTGATTTTACACGAAAAGCTGAATAAAAAACAGAATAAAATTTTTTCATTTGAAGCTTCGTTATCGGGAGAATCGGCTTTGAATATTCACCGAGTATGCATGCACTTAACTATGGCATAGATGGATGGATCTTATGAAATAGTAATTAGCCGTATCTGAAATGATTATTTTAAAATTGTAATTTAAAATCAATTTTGCTTAGGTCATTTAGGTTTGTGTTTAAACAAAAGTTCGAATTTTAAAAAGAAATAAAAAGTCCTTACCATCGGTCGTTTCCATTCTATGTATCTATCCGGCCTTTTCGAAAAATACAACGACGAATCATTTGCTGGAAATTCGGGATCCTCAAAAAGTGTTCCCGTCGACAAACATTCTCGCTTAAGCGTGTTGAAGTCTTGAACTGCTCCTCGGGGTCTGAAGCCAGAACCCTTTTCTCCTAACTAAAACAAAGATATTGTTTTTATTTACATACCTTCAAACCTCTTTAAATTTTTCTCCGTCATAGCAATAATTTTAATTGTTAACAACTCTAAGATTGCCTACATTGTAGTATGATTTCCCAATAAAATTTTTGTTTGTCGTTACGGGACTATCCTTGCAATATTTGTCAGACGTCTCTTTGGCTTTCGTCGATGCTGACTGAGAACCTATACTATCTTTTTTTGAAACGTTAGACTTCGTAGCAGTGTAATACGGTTGAAGATTCGTTTGAGAGATTCTTGGAATCGCGCCCCCTTTCTCGGGGTCGATGTTTTTGTTAAATTCTGCTAGCGGCGAGAGTTTCAAGTGAGCTACACCTTCCTCCATATAATTCACGTATCTATAATTTGTATACTTTCGGTGTTGATCCATTTGTATATATCGATGAACAAGAATGAACGATCGAATAATATAACTGATGCAAGTTATGCTACAATCTTTTTTCTTTAAATAAAATTAACAGAAGACGAAAAATTGCGAATATTTTTCTGAATCTCTATAAACAGATTTACTACAACGTGCGAATCAAAGTATTCCCGATTGTGGATGGAAGTATACTGTTGTAAAGGACATTTGATTAAATTTATCATGTATGGCAACGCGTTATGGCAAACGGAAAGCCTGACCACATCTAATGTACCTTATCGATGCGATATAATACAGGCAGATAAATTTATTTTAATAGAGCTAATAAAAGGTGTAGCCAAAAGGGAGCGGATGATTATTTTATAATTTAACCTTCTAAGAGAATAATTTAAAAAAATATTACGCATTTGGTATTTAATTACTTGTGTCGTAGTTATTCCGATTTTTTGTAATATGTAGGCAATTAGTCTGAATTTAATTATTTGAGTTATAGTCTCAGATAGAAATATTAAGATATAAATAACGAAGACATTTTATATATACTCTAAAAATGATTCGAAAATGTATAAATCTTAACACATTTCGCACGCGCTAAGAAAAGCTGTTTGACTCTCTATTGAAAATAAATACAGAAAATAATGTAGAAAACGTGGACTAAAAACACGTTGTCGAGAAAGAGTACTTGCAATAAATTAATGAGACAAACGCTTCAATTTTATGTATATTATATACAAGCATAAATATGTTTCAATTTATTTTAGAATGGTGAGTGAATGTCCAAAATGATGAGTATTAAAATTTTCTTTTTCGACTTTCGCTATTTTTACTGTTCAGTTTAAAGTAGTAGTTAAACTTAATAAATTTGTTAGTCACTTTTATACATTAGAATGATTTTTGCACACAAGAGAATGACGATTTATTTTTACTTTTCAGTTATTTTCTTTAAGGACATAAAGAAATAAATAATTCTCTATAAATAACAGATAAACTGTAATTATAATTAGTATTTGAGAAATATAGTTTCCTAATTGTTTTAACATATCTTAAATTTATTAATTTTAAATAAAAGAAAAATTAATAATGCGAGCTTTGGATATTTTAGAACTTTGCCAATTAATTATAGAATCATTTGTTTAAATAATTTGGTCACCTAAAATATTATTAATAATATTAATAAATTATATAGTATTATTATTAGTATATTATTAATTATTATATATTAACTGATTAATACCTCATGCATTTTTACAAGGACATAACATAATTAACTGGATCACAAAAAATATAGTATCGAGGTAATGTATCCAATTAATTAATTCTTTTAAGTTAATTATCGCATAGTCTGACTCATACAAAATATGAGTGAATACGCATTAAAATAGTTTAAATCTATACATTCACTGATTTATATATCTTAGTTAATCAAATTAGAAGCATCTACAAATAGCATTTGATTAAACATTATAATTAACAAAATAAATACAATAAGAACATGCAGCACATTTTGGCTCAAAAGTTAAAATCTATAATTACATAAATGATATCAATATCCTACATATCTAGAATTAAATAACTTTTTCATCTTCATTGCACGTTATTTCTCGATTGTAGGATTAAAATAAAGATCAAATAATTATCATTTAAATGTTAGAAACCCTCTATGAAGTCATATACAATTCAACCAATGAAATCAACGATGACTTACTCGTTTTAATCGATCTCTTTGGTGAATCATTTCATATACAAGAATAAGAACATAAAAACCAACTATTAAAGTTATATATCTAATTACTCTTTTTCCAGATTACAATTTCATTATTATTTAAAAAACTACAGCATGCATTAAAGGTTATTACTCTCTTGGATAAGCTGCAATAAGCGTGTAAGAGTTATACATATCAATCGAATGAAAATTGATGAATTAAACGAAATTGTTTGAAGGTTATGTAGATAAGTTCTATCAACAATGTACGTTTTCTTATCTTGAATATTTCTGTCAGCGCACGTGGGGCGAATGAGCAGTAACATGCACACATGACGCATGACAGGAGTATTTTCTTTAATCATATTCCCTGCAGGCACATGAAAGATACAGAATGCGTACGCATTGATTGAACTGCCGTAATCAGCGTCATCATCCTTGAAAACAATCATTTCTACTTGTCACACGGTACGTCTAAGCCAACGTTACGACATACTAAATTGATGAGAAATAAATGCTCAAACAGTATTTGTACCTTAATTCTTTATCTACAATAGACCAAATGTTACCTTAGAAAATGTAAAATCATTTAGTTATTCTTTCACGCATAATGATGCTTTTATGATCATAAATTTGTTTAAAGTTTCAATTACCTTTGATAGCTTCCATATCAAAGCTCTTCTGTTTCATTAGATTGTACATGTCAAAAAGTTATGTCAAGAAAATTTATCCTTTTCCACGATATAAAAATATTTGGTTATTTATATCTCATCAATAGAATGTTCCTTGAAAAGTCTAGAAAAAGAAGATAATGAAAATAATCATTTTAATTAATTATTTATGAATTAGATATTTAAATTCAAATACATACTAGAATATACATCAGGCAGGTTTACTTAATTCGAGTATTACTACCAGTTTTAAATTACATTATTCCCACGTTCCTTATACTGAACGTTAATGAAAGTCATACGCAGATCATGTGTAAATCGTATTACAACGCAAATTTTTCTATATTGCATTCGTTCCAGTGGCTACTGAGGTGATGAAAGTAATTAGATTATACTGTTACCGGAATGTGTCCGTTAATTCTCAAAAGCAGTTCCGAACGAGTAGAAATGTATTGTTCTGTCAATTGAGATGTGCGTGTGGTCGTTTCTGTTACTTGATATCAGAGTACAATAGGTCAAAGATAATGTGACGAAATATCCAGATGTGTAATGAAATGTGAACTAAATAATTGGAAAATTAACGCCACGAGATACGTAGTAACAAATTAAATGCATTACGTGTAATTTTAAGCTGAAGGATGGTAGTTAAGGATTAGTAACATGATACGTTCTACGTAGATGTTAGGAAAATTAATACTATAAAAGTCAGTACGAAAAATTTCATTTATTATTAATTTTTATATATGCATGATAACTTTTTAGTTTTCTTAATTTTAGTTTCTATATGCTATATTATTTATAATGTAAACTTAGTATGATTACCTGTTAATATATGCAGAGTATTATTTACCACAGAACGTGGAGTTAAATTTATGCTTTATTTATGATTCTATTAAACGGTTATGTAAATTGAATAAATGGAATAAATGGAAAATTATATTATTTAATAAAGCAATCATTCGTGAAATTATCTACGTAAAATCTAATAAGCAAGGTTTTAAATTAAATATTAAATGAATAATTCGTATTCTGTACGCGTGATCATTGCGGAATGTACAAAATCATTGTCCTCCAAATGAAATTGCTTACAACAAATTTTTCAAAAAATTTGCAAATTAAACTGACTTTATTAAGAGTCAATTCTAATCATGTGGGTATTGAAACTTATCGAATTAAAGATCTAAAAGTTTGATGGAATCACTTCAAAGACGCGTACCACTTTGATGTTGAAAAGTGATGGAAGAAAGCGTTTGACTTCGACCGCCGTTTTAACGAACACATCGTTGAGGGTTGTTCCATTTCCATCGCCGTAGTAACTCATCTTGTACGACGACTACGCCCTAACTAGTCTATCGCGATCACCACTGATCACTAAATGCTTATTTTTCAAACTATTCGGCTCAAAGATCAGAAACTTTGTTCACTCGCGTTATTGATGATTAGTTTGTGTCACGTGTTTATCGTACAGAACCAAGTAGTTTAGACTACGGTAAACGAAAATTATTGAACTTTCGATACAATTATTTTACGCGATTTCACAATACGGATATAGAACCGTTACGTTGACAGGTCTGGAGACACGAACTGAGCTCATTCTGCTATTACCCTCACCTATGTTTCGTCACACGGTATGGCTAAACGCGCCATAATGCACACGACTTTTCTATAGGATTTTTCTTAATAATAAATATGAACCGTTATATACTATATGGAATAAATCGAATAAAATCTGGAATATAGACATTCCGGATTTTAGCATAATTTTGTAGTCACGATACGTGAAAGTATGCCCACAAACTACCGGTATAAACAGATATTACGACTCGGCTGTATTCGGCTTTGTTCGGTTTATTTCCGTCCTTTTGGTGTGTATGCATCTTAAAGGAATAACATGAACACCATCTATGAGACAAACCACGAATTAACGCGTAGAAGCGCGATCTTCCAAACTTCAGAAACGTCCTTGTACTCTAAACTACAATTAACGTTGTTGCATAACTGATGCAACAGGCGTTCATCAATTACTTTGCAGTCGTACAAAATACAAAGCTGTTCTACAATTAACAGCCATAAAATCGTAGTTTGATACTAATACTCACTTCCGCCGTCGATGCTTCTTGCCGTATAAAATCTGGTTCGATCACCTCTGGTTTCCATCCGTAGGAAAAGTTATTCATTTTGCTTTAGCTACGATCTGACGGACGTTTATCCAGGATTCTGAAATTCCCTTTGTTGTCAGAGTTCCAAAATTACACGTAAGTGAAAGAACAATAGAAACGTGACACGTATTGTGCTATTCAATATTGCAAAACCTTTTTATCAATGGAAAGCACATAATGAGTCAGAGTAAATTATGACTGATAGGAGAGTCTGGCTATAACGTTATTGTGAACGATAACAACTTGCTAATTTGAACACCGATTCCGTGTCTTTTGACTACACCGACTGCTAACATACTGCACAAATTTTCGAAGCATATGGTTTTTAACGTGACTCAATGATTTCCTCAACACGCATTCGATAGATTTTTTTGGCCTGATCACAATATGTGTCATACAGTTCGAAACTACGTTACTGAACTGCAAGTTTAATACTTTGTTGAACGCTCGTCATACGACGTTGACGCGGAAGACGAATGAAGAACGATTCAACTGCGTATAAATATGTCAGAATATCTCGTGATAACCTCCATATAGACGGCTATATAACTCACCTGTTATATACTCTCGTTTTTATTACAGTTTCGTAACACTTTAGTTGCTAACTAGCGCATCTAACCTTTCCTCCAGTTTCGAAGTAGTTTACGTTGTTATCACAGTGCCGCTTCAAATTTTTTGATTTCTGTTGTCGTTTGAAATATCGTTTTTTAAAGAGACTCTTACCAGTGAAATGAACGTAGAAGTGAATTTACGTAATAATATTGGGACATAATTAATTTAAAATCGTGTCAACAGTTGAAGTTTTGGCAATATTAAATGTAATTTGACATATGAAGAAATTCATATGTCAAATTTTTATTTAAACTACAGTAATTGTTAAGTAAATAATTATAATACACATTTCAAATATTTATGAAATATTTAAAAAAAATTATTATTTGTAATAAAGAGACGAACTTTCAAATATTTCGAATACGAATTTATTCTATCTTTCTTTGAATATTTATTAAGTACTTTGTTATTGCTTAATATAATTTTATTAATGTTTAATTATGTATGAAAATATATAAAATAGAAGAATTTATTATTCTTTATTTTTTAACGAATACGTTATTGGATTGATCCATGTTTGGACATGAATTTACACATGAATTTCATTTTTTTTTTTTGTACTATCATGTTAACGAAAAGCTATCAAACCATTAAAGGGGATCATGTGAAAGCAGGTCTTGATGACGCTTCATACCGTTTTCGAACGTCGACCCTCAAACTTGGCCGGCCATATTATTTTGACATTGCCCTATATACCAATAATTACAAAATTGTAAAAACGTGAAATTTCCAACAATCAATATTTTATTGAATCTGCATTGATTTTTTATTTTCAAAGTTTGATTCATCTCATTAATATTTCAAAGGAAACGGACATCCAATTATTTCGAGTAATTGTGGTTATCAGATGGTTTCCAGGAACGTAACAGTATACTATTTTAGTTGGAAAATTACTATGCAGTAAATATAGTTATTACCGATTATTAATCTATCTTTTTTATTAGGTATTAACAATTGTGTCAATATGTAATTTTGATAAAAGGTCCAATGAGATGAAGTATACCAACAGGGAAAGTAATTATCAATCGAAAGTCACACCTTTAAGGTGGGTCTATGGCAGCATGTCAAGGTCACTACGGCACGCAGAATCGTCTCCACCCTTTGTATCCTTTGATTAATCGATAAACAAAATGAAATTTCTCGGTAATTTTACACTTTTTACAACACGACTTTTCATACCTTTTAATATTATTTAAATTCCGTTTGTACCATTTGTTGCAAATGTGTGCAATGTGCAAATCTTTTGTTAAAATCGACGTGTTTTTTTCTGAACAGATAAGAAATTCACCCACGATATTGTGAAGCAGTCTTCGATGCAAGATTGCTCGCGATACACTGGTTAAATTTTCTAAAAGATAGATGCCTGGAACGAAGCATCCTCCCCGCTCAGCTCGCTGGATTATAACGGTGCGGTCGGCGCCACGACACTGAGCGATATAGCACACGAAACCATATCCACGTGTATGTAATAACACGAAACGAAACTTCTCTGTTTCGTTATCTCTTCCTTCGAACATTGACGCATCTCACGGCGGAAAATTTAAACTTCTAAGAGCCTGCCACCTATATGATATTTTTGGAACAGAGCGATGAGATCGCGATATTACACTTTTTAAAAGGAATTAATACTTAGAATTTACTATTCTACTTGGAGATTTCCATCATCTGTTTTCTTTCTTTTGGATACATGGTAAATTTTACTTACTCAATCATTTGGAAATTGTACATTTCAAAATTTTTCTCTAATTATAATATTTTTCAGGTTTCGCAATTGCAAATATGTTTTCGTTTAATTGCATTGTCGTTTCGAAATGGAAAAAGAAAATAAAACTTCTAAGGGTATATCGTTAGTGCACTTGAGGCAGCGTGTTTTTTTGCAATAAGTGCTTGTGTATTAATAAGCTACTATTTAATTATCGTTTTGATAGGTTAAGTTTCAAACAGAAGGTTGTGAAAAATCAGAAAATTATAATATAATAAATATAAGAAGATCGTTGGACAAATTTATTATTTAAGATATCATTTTACGTGTAGTATAATTATTTGTTTCACGATAATTTATTATCGTAGACATTCTCGGAACGTATGTATGCCAGAGGAGAATAACGTCAGGTTTCGCAATCATTGCTAAGGTATATCATCAAAATTTAACTTTACGCATTTAAACGATGTTATTTATTTCTGTTAGGAGCAACTGTGCATTGCAAAGTAACATTTTGGCATTGCATTGGGGCGTTCCATCCAATACGAATCGAACATTCATTTAACCTCGTATCATCGATTAATTAACGTAGAAGCAATCAAACATCGAATCTAAAGCAAGTTTCAATTAATATTTGAATTCCAGGTATCATCAATCAATATCAACTGGATTGGTACAAGGAAATAATGATTGCCCAAAATGATATAGGTATTGTCGAGTAATCGAGTTATTCCAATATACTATATTTTGCAAGGAGGAAAGTACTAAATAAAAGATAGGATGCACAATGGTAGTTTGAAATGTGGCAACGATAGGAAAACTGGGTAACAACCTTGGCAGTAACGGGACTAAAAATATGAATTCGTTCTACGTTATAGTCGGCACCGCAAGGGGGTTCATTTTATGTTAAAGCTAAATTTGGCGGCGTTCCAAATGGTGCTTGAGTAAAAAAATTTCCCCCCTGCTGATATTACTTGAGCTTCGTCTGCCATCAGCTCGACTTCATTCTGCTTTTACCGAGTTCATTTCACTCGCGATGTATTTACTGGGTGGAATGTCTTTGGGTAAATGTGCTGTAAAAGATTATTAAAGAGGAGAGAAAAAGAGAGAAGAATGGAAGGAAAATTCGTTGATGAATAGGCAGAGGAGTTTTTCATTCTGCAGATAGATGACTCGTTTAAGAATCACGTTGAAACATGAATGTTGGCGACTTTAACAGTAATTATTAAAAAGTATGCGACTGACCGAGCACGGACCTTGAAAACAGCGTTCGCTGGATGATGGATGTCACCTGAACCGGATAGTCCTCCTCGGAGTAAGCGTGACAGAAGATTGTAGCGACCATATGTGGACCATGTGTCTTCTGGCGGCTTAAACAGGGTAGGATTCCTACGAATAAATTACCTTTTCTGGAGAAATTAGCATCTATGTCATTCGTATAAATCAATCTGGAAGACGTGCATTCATGTCTGACGTTGTATTCCTCTCTAATAATTTTGTTCAACGCAATCTATCACTTTTGACGCTCTCCGATTACACACGTAATCTTGAATGTTGAAGAACACTTGATTTCGTTTGACACAAGAAGGAACGGATGACAAAAAGAGAGAACTTGAACATAATACGATACATCGCCAGAAGATCGCCTGAGCCAAAGTATAACAGCTTACCCTTTTAGAAATTTATACGTTTTCGAGTTATTAGTATCGTCGGCGATTATTTTCACGTAGTAGTAAGAATAATTCGACATCTCCTGAATAAAGATACCGAGATAAATATAGCCACAAGCGTACGGGTCTATACTGTAAGTCGCGAGATTCTCGAAAGGGTGGCACAAACGCGCACTGTTCGCCGAAAACTACACTCGAATTGTCGTCCGTACCCCTTCTTCTTCGTTCCATCGATGCCTGCTTCTATCCGGTTGTCTGTACGTTTGTAGTTTTCTTCGTTTATATTTTCGCCTATACATATTTTCAGATGCCTGAATGTCTGCACAATTGGCTGACCTACCGACAGAGGCTGTACCATCAACGAGATGACAATGTTATTTTTGTTCTTCCATAGGAAAGTTGCAAACGCTATGTTACGCTATGTTCTAATTACGAAGAATTATAATTTTCCAATTAAACGATATACAATGTATGCATTTCGTTAATTTTAATATCGTAGTAGCACTTTTAGTTTGCCATTAGTAAATATTAAACATATTAATATTATATATTTTTTTATACATTATGGAAGGAAAAAATATGAAAAAATTATTTTTAACGTTAGAAAAAATACACTGTCGTTGTTAACAAATTGTTCTCTTATTGAACTACTTCCATATCACCTACTTGAACTTACCGACTGAACTTGTTATGTAAAGATTGAACGTTAAATGGTTTTCATGTCGGTCGCAATTGGAAGATTATCGTTAAATCGAATCTAACTCGTCTTCTTACTCTTGATCTATCTAGAACGACGAATAATAGAGGCTTATTTTTTTTCCACAAACATGTCTTTATTACGTTTCACGTACAGATATATGGTGGTTGACTTTCATACGCTGCGCGTACGTAAAGTACGTCGTCGTTGTAAGAAAAATAAAAAAGGGCCTGTGCTCTTTTTCGCGTTTCGAAAGGTTTGTTCTTTTCGTTTGCCCATTATTTTGCGGTTAACGATCGTATACAACGAGGTCGATGTTAAAGTAATGGACTTTCCACCATCCATCGTTCTTTCACAAGCTAACAATGAGTCAACGAGGTAGGCGAGGATATCCTATTATTCATTTTTCATGCACCAACAATCAGGTAGTCTTCACGGCAAGAATGACGATACCAATAGAGTTTCCGGTACTTAACTCGAGATCGATCTTCACCCTTTTCTTTTAATAATTAAACGCTTTGTGGAGAAATTACGATCGTTGTCCGGTGGTATATTATTTTTTAAATCATAATGTATCGAGGATGAAGGCGATTCGACCAGCCTTGCCTAGAATTTTGTGATAAACATATATATATATATATATATACATACACACACACACACACACACACACACGCGCGCGCGCGCACGCACGCACGCACGCACGCAGGCACACACACACACACACACACGCGCGCGCGCGCACGCACGCACGCACGCACGCAGGCACACACACACACACACACACGCGCGCGCGCGCACGCACGCACGCACGCACGCATGCACACACACACACACACACACACACACACAGATATATATATGTATACATATATATATATATACATCTATCACAAAGATTTACAGGTATGTGTAGAAAGACGTCGCAGGCGTACATCTTTTTTTTTTCTTTTTTTTTTTTCTTTCTTTGGTGTAAATTAAGTCTTGTGTATAGCGTATTGTCTCTCTCTCTCTCTCTCTCTTTCTCTCTCGCGCGCTCTTTCTCTCCCTCACTCTCTCCCTCCCTCTCTCTCTCTCTCTCTCTCTCTCTCTCTCTCTCTCCCCCTCTGTCTCTCTTTCTTCCGTTCTTTCTCACTCACACTCTTGCATTTAAATTTCTTCTATGTATATCACACATTGTGTACATCACTTGTATTCTTAAAAAATGTTTCATACATTATGAGGTTTCGATGATCATCCTGCATATACTTCATAAAGGACAAGAAGGATCCCCATGTAATTTCTTTGGTTAATCCTTCTGCAGGAGGAATATCGATGATAACATCTCGTTAAGAGCTATATCTACATAGTTTTCTTCGATAATTTATATGTTTGTAACTGCGATGGAATGTATTTGTGACGTTCAGTATTACGAAATGTAAATGATGATATTCGTTTCAGACTTAACGCTTTGAATCCTCCCGTTTTGTATTATGCATATATCGGACACGACGATAATCTTTATGTTTTGTTTGCTCTATTTTTTCCATTTTTTTTTTTCTTCTTTAATTTCTTTACATATATGTAGATACGTATATAACTTTACGCGCGCGCGCGCGCATGTATGCACGATGTAAATGCATGTGGAGGCTATGTGCGTGTACACAAGTTGGAGAAAAAGGATTTAGTTGAATTTAGTAATGGACGGTCTCAAGCTCGTAATGTTTCGTGGTTATTGCAATTCCTTGTATATTTGTATATAGTACATGACACGATAAACAAATCCATGAACGATTATTGTTGCTCGTATCAACAATTTATGGTTAATATACACCATAGCGGACCGTCCATTTGGTAAACGCAATTAAACTCTTTTCTCTAATATATGGACGAATGTAGCCTTTTCTCGCATTCAGAATAGGAAAAGAAGAAATGAAAAGAAAATTAAGGAGTGAAGAAATTATGCCAATTCACTTTCTCGAATTCACAACGTTCTCTCATAGCAGCGTTTCTTCGGAGTACACGCGACGCGAATATTCTTCGTCTTGAATCCACAGAAGCGACGAGGATTCCTTGAAACGCACAGGTTTCAACAATTTTTCTAATACTTCACGATAGTAAATGGTATTTTACATAATGGAAAGTGAAGATAGGAAATACAAAGGGTTACATGTGTTTCACGTGTATATGATGATGATTAGAAAAGATAATAATCTAATTCTTCGTTATTAATTAAAAGAAGGAAACAAAATAAGTAACTTATTTTCTTAAATAAATGCTTACTATAAATGTTTAGGTTGGATTTAGTGACAGTGTTTGTTATATTAAATTCATTACGACAGTTTGACAAAGCAAAGTTATATCCAACATAAATCAATTTTTCGTATGATCGTAATTGTGAATACATTCGGTAATTATAGCTGTTTCTTTTATTTATAGTCATCAATAATTTACCACTTATCTTACACAATTATTAAATCTACCTACTTTGTTTTACAATCATATCCATTTCTATCCATAACCTAATATGTATAAGAAAAAACGATATGGTTCTTCTTAAAGGTTTATTTTTTTTATCATAAACAAAATCTTAAAAAATTTTGCTTATTTTTGCATATAACTTTTCTTTGTCGAATAGTCATAGATGACCATACACTACAGTAGTATTCTATAAAAATAATTAAATTACCTTCTTGATTTCCATACTACCAGGAGTACTCGAACGTTGTGGTGGTGGCGAGAAGGCTATTTTTTCGTATGGTATCGGTCCACGACATAGAGCGCTAGGATCCAAACTGAGAGCAGCCTTTAGGGCGTGTTTCTTTAACATTCCATTTACATTAGTAGCACTCGTATTTAGGCCAGTGTGACTAGGGGAACAGGTACGTGTATTCGGAGACGAATTCGTCGTATCAGGCGGTGTATCCGAGGAAGCCACGATCAGAGAGTCAGAATTCGTGTCGGTGGTGGTTATGCTCTCGTTACCATTTCTTCTATACGCGTCTGTCACGTCGACTGTGCTGCTTCGACGACTATCGATATCTGCTGGACGGTTGTTACCATTGTCTGCGATTCTTAACTTACCACTATTTTCGATGTCCATTGAAGTTCGATGTACGCTTTTTTCTTCGCGATTTGAGCTGTCAATCGTATGTTTGTTCTGCAAATCCATAAAAATCACTGAATAAATACAATTATGTTTAATATATTTCTTATCACATTAGCTGTTAGTGTAAATATTCTACTTTGTTTATAACATTTCAATTGTAAAATATTATAATTTGGCTGTACAATATTAACAGCCAATGTATTAAATATTGCACTTTGCATAGAGCTAACAATATCCGGATTTAAAAGCAAATGATTCCAAAGATATAAGGAATCAATATGTAGCATGAATGCGAGATAACTAAATTAAATATAAAAATAGCATTTACATACATATACACATACACAATTACTCACGAAAGCATTCCGTGATCACCTTATACATATCACATATTTTATGTATTCAAATAATTTTTAATTCAGAATTAGCCATCATAATTTACATTAGTATACATTTTGATTAATATATTTCAGATTTAAATACAATTTTAAAGTTTATGCAAAAAAAAGATATTATGTAGAAGATGTGAAAAAGCATTTACGAAAGTATCCTTAATGTTATAGTAACATCATAAGAATAAGGATAAAGAATTGATTTATTGTAAATCATTTTATGGTAGTATAAATGATAATTACTATCTTTGATTTCAATATTAATTGAATATCTAAGATATGTCACATATGGAATGGGCGGATACTTTTGTGAATAACCGTACTTCATAATAACATATATTACGTCATAACAATTAACTGTCTAAAAAAATATTCAAAAAATAAAATTGCAATTAGCCAAAATGCTAAGCAAATATTTATTAAGTTGATCATAAAAGAAACATACACCAGAAAAAGGAATTTTTTGCAAATTTTATCAAAAGTACCTCTGAACGATCGCTCTCATCATTAAAATCACCGCGACTCGCGTTTTCAACAAAGGTTTGTTCAGAAATATCTGTACTAGAGCCATACGGATTAGATTGAAATTCTCCTTGCAGACTGTCTGTTGGGTGCAAGTTATTTCTTTCATTCAAATTGGTTCGATTCGGATTTTCGTTTCTGGGATTAAGATTATTGCCTGCTATAGCTTGAGCCATATGTTGACTCGCCAATCGCGGATCGATAATTCTGGGTTGCATGTATCCACATGCGTCCAGCTATAAAAATTATAGTATTCCATAGAATTATATATTCATTTAGTAAAAGAATTCTATTTTCAAAGATATATCACCAAACATATTCAGAAATAATGTCGAATTAGAATGTAAACTATTGGGAGAAATATTAAACGATATACTCACTTCTAAGTGTACATTAATACATTCTGTTTCTGGATCTGGCCTCATGATAGTTATTTCACGATCGCAAATTGGTAAAGTGTCGAAATTGGGTGTTGGATGATTTATCACGTCAGGGTCCTAAATATAAAATATTATGTATCAAAATTAATTTGCTTAATTAGTCGAGCTGCAATCAACTATTAATGCATTTTACCTGTAAGCAATAACCAATTCTCTCAACAATAGTTGTAAAACTAGGGCGGTTTTCGGGGGATGGGTGCCAACAACTTGTCATTATTCCATAAATAGGATCAGGGCATCCTGCTGGTTTTTCCAGGCGACCTCCTGACGTTACCATTAACATAACTTGTCTATTAGTACAGCCAGTGTAAGGTATATAACCAAACGACATAATTTCCCACAGCAAAACTCCAAATGCCCTACAATTAAAAATTAGTCACAAAGATGTTTATTACTATCTTGTTGTGAGTATCTGTTATAAATATAACAATAATAGTAATAAAACAGTATTAAATGTATAATTAAACTAGCTATTCATTACATGTGTAAATTTTAATTCGATGTCTTTAGATTCCGCCATTCTAATAATAAATTCAAATAGTTTTTCTTTTTGTTTAGGATATTATTCTGTGTAATATCAAGTGAAACTCACCATACATCGGTTTTCGTAGTAAATATTCCATCTAAGAAACTTTCCGGTGGCATCCATCTAATCGGTAACATAGCTTTGCCTCCTTTTCTGTAATAATCGCTCCTATAAATATCTTTAGCCATCCCGAAATCTGCAATCTTCACTACTCGACCGGATCCTTTACACGTAAGTAAACAATTTCTGGCAGCAATATCTCGATGGATAAATCGGGCATCTTCCATATATTTGCAGCCGTTTACGACATCGTATCCACATAATATCAGATCCAGCATCGTCAACGAAGTGGGCCGATCCTGCCAAAACAGGAATATACGCATGCACCCCAATGATGACAAGCGCCAAAAATTAAGAGATGTCCCTGTTTAAATTACAATCCAGAACGACAGGTAGTTAACAAAAAGTAATGGAACTCAATACAAAAATTAGATGCATAAATAAGTTTTCAATAACGTAAACACAAAATGGCGGAACGAAAATGGAAATTTTTCATATAAATTTAAACTTAAAGTATAAGTAAATATAAAAGTTTTCAATTAAAATGATATGCGGGAGAAATTTGTTATATTTTTAAAAGGACACTATTTACCGCGCGTGGTCGTTCTTCTCGAAGAAAGTTCTTCAAATTTCCGCCAGCAAGCAATTCTAAAACTATATACTTCGGATTTTTGTCAAAAGAAACTCCGATGAAGTGTACTATATTGCGGTGCTCGAATTTGCTCATAATTAAAGCTTCCATCATGAAATCTGCTTCTGTTTGTGGCTTCGACGAAGAGGGTATTGTTTTTACGGCGACTGGTAGCTCTTCATTACGTTTATTTTTATAGACACCTTGGAAGACCTCACCGAAAGCACCTTGACCAAGAGGTCTATCATGCAAATAGAATAAATATATTTAATTTATTAAACAACAAAGAAAAACTAAATAGTATTTTTTTGAACTTCTTAATTAAATTTTAATTCAGGATTTTATTCATATAAATAATACTGTCATTAAATTTACACTTACTTTCCTAAAGTTATATAATCACGGGGGATTTGTGGTAAATCTTTAAACCTGTAGAGATTTCCGGCGAATTCGTAGTTTGGATTAAATTGAGTCATCATAGTTTCGGAAACAGCACGTAGCGACGTTAATTCAGTTCCGTTACCAAACATTACTTGTCGTCGTTGTAAAATCGCTTTGCGATTTTGGTAACGATCATCTAGCAATAAAAGTGATTCGCCTTTACGATTGATGCATATTCATGTCATCATTTAATTTTGAACATTTATTTATTAACCCTCCGTCAATTGACGCTTCTAGCAGTTGCCAATAACCGTGCCTGGGTCAGTATAGACCCACGGTTACCATGTTTTTTATTCTGATCATCTGGGCTATATTTTTGTATATTTATTGTAGTATATTTTTTAAATTAAAACACTGAAATTTATATTATATCTTTAATTTATACATATTTAACATATACAGTATATGAATAAAATAAAGAAAAATACAAATAAATTATAAACAATATGCATTTTATATTTGTTATTATTTCCGACGCACATATAACATCTATCTCGTTTTTTACTTGTACTAGCTCTTAATTATCGTTGAATCGTTTTATCTGTAGTTTCTATAGCTCTTAGAATCTTTTTTCGCTAGAAGTTTTCCTAAATCTTCTAAAAATATTTTCGTTTTATAATTTATATTACAATTATTTGTATATGACGAATTTTTCATTTATCATATTATAAGTGCATTGTATAAAACGATGTTAACGAACAGAATATTGTCTAACTAACTGGTCTAATACGTTCATTCTACTTTTTGTTCTATTATAATACAAGATAATGTTAGGTTTATAATCATTCTTTGAATTTGAAATATTATATTCTCGATGAAAATGAGAAAGTAAAACGACGCATTTTCGCTAAAGTCAGATTAAACTTCTTTTCGAGAGCTAACAGTAGAAAATGATCAGAGAATAAATTTCGAAACATATGGTTCGCTTTATCGGTTGTAATATAAACAACTGTTGGTTTAAATCACTCATCATTAATTGAGCACAATTCGACAAAGCTCTTGCAGCCGTGGGTCAAAGAAGATCCAGGACGGAGGGTTAATTACACTTGAATATACTAAGAAAGTGTGAAATCTCCAAAATTATGATAAATTATTTATATGACAATATTATTAAATAATTTCTTACAAAGTACTAGGCAGAGAACTGTTAGAACAAATAGTAGGCCAGTGATTAGAGCTATGACCCAAAATAAGAACTTTTGATGGGTAACCTTTAAATCGTCAGTCACTGCGAATAAAATAATTATTAGATAATTTTCTTAAAAAATAAACAAAAGGAAAAATGTATTTTTTCGATACTTACTGACACAAGATTTTGAGTTATTACTTAATAACCAGCCTGGTGGACAAAGACACTTTGTCTCGCTGAGATACTGATCGAGAGAGACACAACGGAAGTCACAACCACAACCACTAATATCAGGAATGATGTAAACCTCTCCAGATCCATGATTTATCCCTGGTAGGAAGTGAACGTGCATAAGCTCGTGGCTAGCATAGGAATAACCGCCTTCACCGTTACCCGATTCCTTGTGACCGTTATCACCACCTGATATTGGAAATTAGTGATCAAGATGATTAGAAAGATATATGTAATAAAATTAAATTTGATAATTTATAAGTAAATAATGAAATACTTTTCGCAAAATCTTTAAAAATTGAGAAAAGAGGAAAATTCATAACTATCAATTTTTAATTGAGTAGAATATAACATGCTATTTTATCAATGTAGCTTAATGAAAACATTCAGCATCAATTTAAGTACTTAATCTAAGTACATCAACTGCACCAATTCCGAAATACAAATGTAACTACAATTAAAGGCAACATACAACTTATACATACACTTATGAATTGTAGATTCGGTGCATGTGTTTAAAATCACGTTAATACTGATTCGTTACCTATATAACCACCACCACCACCTCCTCTGAGACATCCACCACCTCCGCCGCCGAATCCTCCGTTGCCGTGACTCTGATTTCCAGGACCGCAAGCAATTCCTCCTACGCCGCCCCTAACAAGGGACATGCCAGCGGAAGTTCGTTGACCCAAAGCGCTACTTGATGTCCCGTTCCACCCGCCGCCAGGCCCACCTATACCGAGCAGATTTACGTAATTAACACAGTTTCAAAGCAGTTATAACTAAATGTAGACTGATGCGCATTACCGCAACGCAGAACATGTGAACATCACACTTAAATAAAACTGAAACTGAACATCGTTCAGTAACCTCAATTTATGTAATTTTTTAATGTAATTTATGTAATTTGAAAACATTAAATTGATTTTTAAAATGAAAGTTATGTGATTGACCATTATTTGTAGTACACTTATAAACCATTGACATTTTTATTATTAAAAAAGATTATAGTTATAATTAATTACATAAATTTATATTTTAATACAGTAGATTCTATATTAACCAAAGACATTATATAGGTACTGTTTGGTATGCTATATCTATTATAATTCCATTATGATATAAATACGATTTATGGAAGAAATAATATTTCAAAATTAAATTAGTAAATTAGTCGTGTTTTTATTTACCTGCCTCTGACGAGGAAACTGTGCTCGAAGTGGATAGTTTTCCAGATGGAGCAGGACCTCGTCCATGTTGATGCCCAGTATCGTCAAATTGTCCCAAACCTAAACCACCTCCACCCGCTGCGATTAGTATTGGATGCTGTTCTCCATTACCTTTTATCTGTGACATATAAATAATTAATAATTGCATAATAATTTATATTTTATCAATTTGACCATATTCGCTTACTGTAAAGATATACGTTGCTCCTCCTCCGCCACCACCGCCGTCTTCTATCTTGATCTTTTTTATTTCGTGTACTATTGAAAAGAATCCCGAAGGAGGCGATGATGCAGAGCAGTTATCCGATTTTTGTTCTAAGGTCTGAAAATTTCATTCATTATAGCGAAAACAAATATATTACAAATTTTTTTAAATTGTTAAAAAAAATTAAAAAATTAATAAAACAGACGCGTAAATATTATTTTATAAGTGAAAGATTAATATTTTTAATTGTATGTGGTATGTGAATCTTACCGAATCTTACCTTAAGACATGCATCCATTCCTGAGAATCTTACCGAATCTTACCTTAAGACATGCATCAATTCCTGCTTGCCCAACCATGAAATACAGTTGTTCACCCTTTTCTAATTCGATCACACCACGAACAAATGCTCCTAATGTACTTCCCATACCGCTAGAGCCTTTCCCGCCACGAGCACCCAAGCCAATCAAACTAAATTCATAATAATATACATATAAGTTAGGTTGTAAAATTTCATAAATGACAGAATAGAATTAACGCCTTTGTTTATAATATTGTATGAGACTCGTGATGAAGAAATCGGAACAAACATGAGTGTCACAGGTGAGAGGCATGGTTTGTTGATGGGGCCCAACGTAAACAACACGGTGGTTAGTTTTCACCGATGTTTTTCTGTCTCAGTTCTGTGTTATTCTTTGACGCTTTCAGAGAAAATTGATCAACGTGTAACCGACCTTGCTGTTGATAATGGCACGCACTATCGGAACTTAAATAATAAGGTAAGAGTTAATAACAAATTCTTACGTATAATATCCTCCGCGAGGCGCTGTCCATCGTTGAACACCATTTAAGTTGTAAGAAGAAGGTTCTTCCCAGTTTGGTGGAGGCACAAGTAACTCTATGTCTGTTCTATTGTATTCTTCAGCACACTGTTCAGGACTAGGACCTATTCTACCTGTATTTCCACATGTAGTAAGTCTTATAACTGGAAATACAAAAAAATATATAGTAAATATATATAAAAAAAATTTGATTAAAATTTAAATACGTTATAACAAAGATCATTAGAAGTATTATAATTGTTATGATAAACAATACCAGTTTTATTAACAAAGTCTGCATGTGGATCTGGGACTTTTTCCGAATCTATAACAGGATTGTAGTAATTGAAATCTCCCACGATTTGAGGTGGAACACCTAATACAATTAACATATAAGTATTTTAATGTATATATATATTTTTTATATAATTTTTAACATGGAAAAATTTTTAAATTAAAAAATTACCAATGCCAAAACACTCGGGGCTCAGAGAAAAATCATCAATTGCTACGTCGGCTTTTGGATCATAGCCTTTTTTTACCTCAAATTGGAGATAATACCTAATCACATATTATATTTGTATAAGAAATGTGCATGAAATTAAATTTTATAAATTTTTTTATGAATACATTAGTAAGTACCTGTATTTGATATCAGGTAAAGGAACAATTTTATTGTACCAAGCGTTACTTCTGTCAACTTTCAGATAAGCAGTCCATAAGGATTCATGGTGATTTTCATGACGTTTTACTTGAATTAAATACAATTCAAGTAAACCACTGTGAACCCCATAGTGATGATAAAAGAACCGCACCTGTATACAAACATATACATATATAATGTATATTATTTTTACTAGAATTTAATTAATTTTAAAGTAAAGTAACATACTTGACACGATTTATAATAAGGACTTTTTGGATCGCCATGATAAGGTGGTGTTGGATTGTACAATGGACTTTCAATGGTACCACGACTAGCATATTTCACTCGTGTTGACATACTCACATATGCATACGTCCCTGTAATGAGAAACTGATATTGAAATTTGATATGTGAAGTCATTGAAATATATGGATAGAATATAAAATATTTTAATGTACCAAAAATATTTATCAGAACAATAGTTTCTCTTCATAAGTACATGAATTGCTAATACACTTTTAATTAAAAACATATTCTCTTCTTTATCGAAGTATTTTTAGTCTTACTTTCGCATAAAAATCATGTTAATACTTTAATAAAAATAAACAAATTAAAACCTGCTATTATATATACATATATAAATTTTATTTAGATTTTAAGAGTTGAAGTATAAATCTCTTATCCATTCTTTAAATATCTTTCAACAACGGCTACTATTTTTACTTAGCCAAATTAATAGAGGAAATCAATTTTCAAACAAAAATGACCTCAAATTTCTCCTGCGGTAAAATCCAAGATAATATTAGATGAGCCATATATATGTCCCCTTTGGAAACAAAGTTACGTGATAAAATTACTCTATAGTTATTTTCATGATTTCGCTTAACGATAACGATAAATCCAAATAAATGTATTTAAAACGAATGAGAATGCGGAATTCATTGAAATGCATGTGAACACAAGGGCACATGTAACTATATACACACCGGACGCATTGCGGTATGTATGATCGTAACTAGGTCCAGTTCTCTCGGACGGCGTTGCGCCACGATTGAGGGTCCAATTTAAAGGTCTTCCCGGTACGTTTCTCCAGCCACACCATCCGTGCTCGAAATTACATCTGGTATTCTCCGGCATTTTGTCTGAAACACTCCTCAATTATAGTCTGTCATGTGTTCGAACGATGAACTGGACTGAAAAGTGGTAGGCAATAATTTGACAATTACCGCAGTCGAACTCCTCGTCATCGCCGTCAGCGCAGTCTTTTGTTAGATCACAGACATGTGCCCTTTTTAAACACGAACCATTCTTACAGCGGAACATATAGGCATCACCTTCCGTACAGGCCATCTTCACCGGTGTTGATTCTGCAAATAAGATACATTTGTTTTTCTTTTCTTAAGTAAACATCAGTGTTTGTTCAGCCTTTTCGCTTGTACAGATTACGCCGCGTCAAACTTTCTAGAAACTTAGAAACTCATGGTGTTTTCCTTCACTTCAACGTTACTTTTACTTTATTTATTCAACAATGGAACTTTATATATATATTAAAAATATTACTTCAACATACTTCATAGTATCTTAGTTTAATTCGTTTTGATACAAAATTAATTTTAATCATTGATGCCATTAAATAGTTGAGTTCATACAAAATTAATATAATCGTATGGAATAGATAATTGTACTTATCTGAATAATTAGTTCTACTACGAATGTATAAAATTGAATATTTAAAATTATTAGTGCCAAGAATAGCGGTTATTTATTGTTTTAAGTCTCTGCAGTAAAAAATTATGATGTTTGTTGTCTCTAAATAAAGGCAATAATTACCCGGAAAACAGTCCACTAGACGAAGATTATCAACTCCGACGCTAGAGTTAGAATAGCGTGTCAGAATCTCTAGTAGTAAATGATGTGGTTGAGTAATCACACCAAGTTTAAAAACTGTTTTTTCCCATCTGTAATACAGGCCGGTTATTTTGGTTATTATTAAAGCATGACAATTTTTATAATTGCGCAATAAAAGAATTTCTGCCGTAAAAAAAAGTAATGAAATAATGATTACGTACTTCGCATAATTATTTCCTGACTTTTTCGCGGCAATCCAATCCGCATCGCTCGTGATTATAAGCAAGTTAATAGTACCATTTTTCATTTCGACTTGGTAAAGGGCTATTTCTAACACACAATGCAATCCAGTCTGAGGAATCATGGGGGACAATATTTGAGCTTGTCCCTTGCCGCTGAACCATAAAAAATGTCCTGGCAAAGAGCGAAATTCATAATGAGGTATGCACTTGAATTCCAAGTTATGTGAAATAATACATTTTATGTAATCCTATATATCTATATATACGTCTATGTATCTGTATTTTTTAAACCTTATTTTATTCAGTTATTACTGTACATTACATTATCGTATACACTAGTATCAAACAATTTATTAATAACAGTTTATAATTAGATTCCTAACTTCCAAATTACAACAAGAAATCGTAGTCAATTCGAATTTATCTTGAAAACAAATGAAGTTTTGATCATAAGTGCAAAGAATGTGTCTTACCGTCTGTCGAATTACTGGCATCCGTAGTAGGCCCATATTTATTTTGCGCCGAATGCGTGGTTTTGTTGAAACCGTTAGTGTGGTTCCATGTCCAATCACAGATCTTCTCCAAATCGCATTGGCCGAGCTGTTGCAATCGACTCAGAGCCATCTGTGAGTTGCTGAACCCGCGTGGCGCTCTCTCCTTCCAATCACAACAGGTACCCGTGATGTAACAAAGGCCAAGAAGGAATCTCAACAATAGATTGCCACTCAGACCGAATTTTCGTCGCCAGTCGTGCACAGTGTGACTCGCCTGTCTGAAATTCGCGGTCAACAGCTCGGACCGCGTAGCTCTGATCATTACTCCGTGCTTTCCTCGTGTATTCGCTCGATATATTCTGGGAAAGTAATACACAACATATTTACACGCGTTCTCGTCTCATCTCCCGTTTCCCGATTTCTTCTATTTTCTCGACGTTTTGGCCCCCTTTCTCATGTGGCAATAATACGCCCATGGCGCCAGCATTTCGACCGTTCCATGGACCAATCGCGTGAGCGTGGCTTCTAGCTACAGTTTTTCGTCGCTAGAATCGCGCGTGATCGAATAATTGCAATGTGCTCGAAGCCTTCGAACATCGAGCGAGCAGATTTCTAGCAGGCTCTGGTTACGCTTATAATTGCAATTCGAGCTTTTGCGGTTTCGCATTCACGGAAGCCATGCTAGTCTTTTTCGATAAATTAAAAAAACAGAAAAGAATGGAATTTTTCATTTTCAAATAATTTTTTTTTCTTTATTTTTATTACATACGTATGTATGTAGCAAGATTTCGTTATCTGTTACAGGTTTTTTAATTTACGGATTATGAAATTCGAAGAATATGATGTATATATGATACTTATTTGATTCTTTATAATTTTCCTTGTGTCGATATTAAAAATACGAGATGTTAAATAACGCGATTTATCACGATAAGTTAAATTAATCGATTTAGCATACGGAACTGACTTTTAATGTTGTATCGTTAGTAGAGCTTTGGCAAAGCAAAGAAAATTACTCGTGAAGACGAGAGGACGAACTGGATGATGAAACGAAGCGGTGATTGGCGGAAATGGAATAACTGATTCGCCGATATTTCATAATTTCCGGTATGCCGGTTATTACCAAAGACGTCCCCCTGTAATGGTAATACCAAAGCGAAATTTATCCGAATGTCATTTTCATTCCACTCATAGATATAGAATATGTTTATTTTATTATCTTTTGTTTTTCAATTTTCAGATACCCCAAAGTTTACATTAATGAATTTAATATAACACAATTATTTGAATAAAATAATTCTGACTGCCATAATATCTTTTTGCCGAATATTACATAAATATTACAATACAATTTAAACCTGTAATTTTTACTTTTTTTAAAAATTAAATTATTATCTGTCAAATTAATTTATTTACTATATTCTAAATACTACTTTATGGTTAATTTCAAACTGTAATTTAAAATAAATATATGTTTATATCATTCAAAACCCAAATGAAATTCAAATATTTGCAATTGTGTAAATGTAAATATTTTCGCGTTATTTACCTTTGGATTAATTACAAATTAGTGTAATAATACATTACTTTCTTTAGCAATTTCGAAATTTTTAACTTTCTTTCTCTGAAAATAATGGGCGAAAAGAATTATTTTTCATGATTCTGGTACTATTTTTAAAATTATTTTTGGTCTACCGCAAAACGATTTTTCATATTGTTCTATCTGATATTCTACATGCCGATAACTTTTTCTTATTAACGGAAAAAATATGTCAAAAAGGACAGAAAATTAAAAAATATGGTCGTCGTAGTTTGTGATTTAAAGGTGTAAATCACCAGTCCGATTTTTTCTTCTTACATAAAAAGCAAATCTAACAACGATATCTGTTGTTAGCTCGCAAATATCGATCGAAATTCAACGAATACTTGCAAACTCCTGGCCAATCGCGACGATTCAGCGACGCGAATTGTTGAAAACGCGTCCCCTAAGTGATTTCTTGAATTCCTTTTTCGCTAATCTTTCGTTTGCTCAATCGTAGTTCTATAAAATGGCCTGAAAGCTGCACGTACGTTTCGATCGTGACTATTCTTGCCACATTTAACGACACCTGCATCTCCATTTTTGAAATTGGCTTCTACACATGAATAATTAAAGAAATACTTAAAAAAGTAAAAATATATTTTCACTGATAAATTGAAATATACTTTAGAGATATGAATTTAAACCTTATAATTTTGAAAAATAGTAAAACGAAATCAATGCTTTGCAGTCTGAATTTAAAAATCTGATTTTAAGAATGTAATTTTGATGAATATATGTAAACTCAAATATTTGTCCTTAAGTTTCATCTATAAAATGTATTATAATAAATATTACAATTCGACTGGGATTCATATAATTAAAATAAAAATTTCCTAGGATTATATTTTCTGTAATAATAAAAAATCCTACATTTTATGAATTTTAATTTGCGGAAATCTGTATAACAAAATCGGATTTTGCGAGAGCACGAGATGACATTCGGATAGATCTCTAAATTGACGACAGAGAAGTTGGGAAAGAATAAACGTAGATAAGAGGCTAGGTCGCTTCGAGTTATAACGATGAACACCGTGAACAAATTATTCAGAATATTTCTATCGATCTTTTAGTCACTCTCGGTTCGAAAGCTTAACAACACACTATATTCGGTCAGTACGTGCCGTATAACGCGATATTAATAATGCGTAACATATCACGTGATCGATACCGTACCTAACAATTGTATGTTGCTTCTAATACTTTATAACAATAATGTCACGTTACAAATATTGTATTGTCAGCATTCATCAATTTTGCGGTAAGAGACTGTTGCACCAGTATCTAGTCTGTTCTTTGTTTTATATCATGATATCTATTATACACTACTGTGCAAAATTCGGGTACTTGTTTATTTTTAACAAGATGTAGTTTAATTAAGCAATTAGTGCTAAAACAATTTAAATATTATATAATAACAAAATGATAAAATAAAATTGAATTAATGTAGAATTATTTGTTGCTTAAGAAGCTCCTTACCTTCACATTATTTACTTTTCAAATTGTAAATAATTCATAAATTAAAATAATTAAAACTTTCTGCCAGTAGTGCTCAATTACATTTGTTAAGAATGATACTCCTTATAGTAATAAAGATAAAACGATGTAAACAGCAATAACCATTTGGTGCAATAATTTCTTGTTATACTTGATGAAGTTATTCATACGATGTAACATATTCACGATGCATTATCGTAAAGAGATGCACACATTAACACAAGCAATTTACAACGGTTGTTAATCATTATATTCGAAAATCAGATTAAACATAAAAATGTCATATTAATGAATTGTATACGATTTCAAAGCAGTAATGGCATCAGGCCTACCTTCGATCGAAAATGATGTACAATATGCCAGCATAGTTTCCACTCGTTCATCCGTTTTGTAGGATTAGCAGCTCTTCGATATCATCGATCGGCGATCACTTCCTTTCAATCCTTCATTGTCCGGTCGAAAATATCAATTTCGACGTCGTTGGATCATTCGGCAGCCAACTCGATTTCCAACAATTCCTGTCACCTGTTCAAAATAACATATGCTTAATCAGCGTTACGTTTTAACATATAACACGTTGGGCGAAAATGAAAAGACAGAAACGATAGCGACCCTTGCGAATGACGAATAGTAACTAGCTGCATCGCGTTATAGGATCTCGCACTCTCAACTGGATAATCTCTTGTCTGTCGTTAACGGCAATCCAACGACAGCACTTTTTTCTCTCTATCCTGTTATCCATCCTCTCTTCTCTCCTTCTTTCGTGATCCGATTCCCTTCAACCCTCGCACACTCCTCGTTCATCATCGCGTTCTCTACCGTCTACCTTTTCCTCTCTATAACGCTGTCTCCCTCTTTTCCGGAATATTCAAGCGATCGTTTCACAAGTGCGAATTAAATGCTCCCTCAACTCAACTTGACGCGATTTGGACGATACTCGTTACTCTTATTTCCGCTTCTC